ACCAAAATTCCAAACAAAACAGATTTTCTACATGGAAACATGTACAGGGTGTCCCACATATAATTATAATGCATTCCAGAGTTTGTGGAATACCCTGTAAAAGATGGAAGACAAGAGCTGGTCTCATAAGTGTTTTCTAAGAGCAGATTCTCAAAGGATGTTAAAAGGAAGCTTCCAATTTGTGCCCATCTTTGGCATATTTCAATGCATACACAAAGTACTAAATCTTGCATCTCTCCCATCTGCTTCATCTTCTGAAGGTTCAAGCATGACTAGCAATGAACTGCTGACTCACTCCCAACATGATTTTTGATCTAGAGAAATTGTTGGTAGCTGATCCTGGCTGCATAACTCACTTTATTTTAAATATACTTTAAAGGCAGAATCAGATTTTACAAACAACATTTAAAATTGCAATTTGAATCTTAATTTCACTATTTGATAGGATACCACAGATCTTCTTGGAGTTGGGGTAAAGAATATTTCAGTTGTATATATTTCTTGCAATTTCCCTTTATCTGATTCTGCCTTTAAATGACTCAATAAAATCAAGAAGGGATCTGCATCTTTAAACACACCTGCCTAATGTATTGTACAAATATCCAGGCATATGTTATATAATTGACATATATATATACATGTACAATTAATAAACAAGTATACAAAAGTACTCATAAACCAAACTGAGAGTACATTTGAGAGAAATATTTATTTGTTGGATGAGTGGGGCTTTAATGTAATGGTGCAAGTTAGCAGTTGGTAAATATATCTTATCACTTATAACTGTTAGCTTAACTTGCACTGTAAACTAACATATTAATCTTGCAAATAGACACCATTTTGATATATTAGGCATAATCACACTTCAATGTTTTCTGTAATTTTACAAATGGGTTTAAATGTTCCTTTTTTCTTAATATCACCCATGCTCCCTATTGTAGAGTAGAGTATACATATATTGCAGTGTAACAAAGATAACTTTATCTCAGTTTTAAGAATGGTAAAGGGAGAGGTTGTATATTGGAAATGAGTATTACTGTAATTACCACCTTTGAAAAACAGGTTTATAATGTGTAGTTTGGGGTATGCCTTACATAATCTTGTACTATGGCAGTTTGGATGGTATGGTAGAAAACAAATTTCTGTATGATCCTATTCACCATGTATGTTTTGAAGTAATATGGAAATACTCAACTTTTGATGAAATTCAGAAAATAATTAATTTTGATGTAATTAAAGAAATAAAGGATAATACTTCAATGATCCATTTTTTGGTCTTAATCCAAATTGTATTATTGCATTATACGTACAATTGGCAAATATCAGTATGATAATCAGTATTGAAGGTGATGTATTATATAAAGCTATGGAGATAGGACTGATTGTTGGTCAAGTTTTGTACTTAACGTTTTGCCATTTATGGTAAAGTTTGGTGTGTAGTTGCCAAGATTAGCAAGAGAAGTGTATATTTGTGGGGATTATTAAACATTATATGAGATACATGCTAATTACATACTAACCCATGTAAAATTGAATATCTGGATACATGTATAAAACTTGACATTTGAATTTACAGTGAATTATTGTACATATTTCAAGTTTGCCATTTTCAATGTACTGGGTGGCTCAAAATTAGGTTTACAGTTACAGTTTACAGATTGTTGAATAACTGTTAACCTAGTTTTAGGCCACTCTGTATATTGCTTAAACAATGGTCATTTTCATACCCAAGTAGCACAGTCTGTTATCTGTTATAAGGGACCAAATCTGAATTATCTTTTCTCAATATAAGTTTGGGACCAGAAATTAATATGTAGGCTTTACCTAAGTTCGTTGAAATTGTTTTGGGAAATGCTTGAATTATTAAGGGAAATTATGAATGAAATTCATTACCTTTGTAAATATCCTTAATTATACTAATCTAAGCACTACCATTTAATGTGTATAAAGTAATACATGTAGTTTCATATTATGCATTCTTATACGAAGCAAATACTGTAATTTAAATCTTCCAGTGGGTATTCCAGTTTGCAGTGCAATAGTGCCTTATATAGAGCATTTTATTAACTGGTAATGTCAGTTTATTTTTTGTCAAAATTTTAATGTCAAATTAATAAGAGAGTAGAACAAGATTTTGGTAAAAATGAATGAAACATCAACATAATTTGGTGATTCTGTACGATAGAAAAAAACTTTACCAAATCAAAGTTGTGAAGTGTTTTATTTTTTGACAATTGTAAAACTACTAAAAGTAAAGTATGAATTTAAGAAATGTACTTGGAATATAAACTTGCAGTGTCTCAAAAAGAATAAAAACAAAATATATTTTTGAAATAAATAATTGTTATTCAGTTAATTTATTGTATCAGTATATCAAAAATATTAAATTTTGAATGACTGCCATATTCTATGTTTTTTCAACAATATCTTGATGTGAAATATCCATGTTGAAATACTTTCATGTGTTAAGTTGCAATAGGGACATTAAAATTATATACATATATAAAAAAAAATATGTCCAGAATTAACATAAAATGCAAAATTAGAGTGAAACACATCCAATGTAATGTTCATGCCCTGAATAGCAGATCAGAGACATGCCTGTCAGTTGAACCCAGAGGAGATTTACCTGAGATATGTTAGCGATTACCAATTCTATAAAAAGAATGTTCGCTATTGTTTTATGTGGATATTCTCAAGTAGTTTAGAAAGCATTAATGAAATAGTATTACCATAGTTTAGAATTGATGATATTAAACTGAAATAAACAACATAACTGCCATTTCCACTGAACCAAATTTTGCGTTGAGCATGCGTGGCTCTTACCCCCCTATCACACCAAACTAGTTCTTACCCGTTCTTGCCAGTCCTATGAAAATGTCGTAAAATGGGCTCAATCTGGCTGCGGTCGGGATATATGTCTAAAATAATTAGACTTCAATACGTCCATCTCATTCGCAGTTCGTTCAGGTCGCACCACATCGGTGTGCAAAGTAGTATAAACCGTCCCTTAGTCTAGAAGGTCATCATAACCTGATTACTGAACGGTATGGTCGCCATCGAATTTTGAATCGATTCAAAATTCTAAATCACATACCCCATCCGGGAAAGTCCATGAAGTTCGTAAACAGACCGTAGAACGCTGTAGCTACGTTCATTCAGTTCGCACACAGTTTAAAACCGATTCGGCAACGTTTTGACGATCACCAGAAAATTTTGAGCATGCTCTAAGTGCTGGAGGACCTACTCGTTCTAGTAGTTTCATGAAGTTTGTAAACAGATCCCAAACGGTTCTTAGTGGGTTCTTAGTAAGTCAAATCCGTTCGCGCACAGTTAAAGCCCGTTTTCGAGAACGCAGTGAGAACTAGTTTGGTGTGATAGTAGGGGTAGAGAACATGTGTTTGTTCACATCATCTTATCCTGCAAATTGACTGGATGGTATAGTGACCGATGTGCATAATGCTGATGAATAATCAATCAGTGGCAAATAATGGCATCTCCTATGGGACCTAATCACTTCTGATCTGATCCATAACGAAGGATGGTGAGAATCAAACACCAAGGTTTCTCAATTCATATTTACAAATATAGGAAATCATTCATTACTTAGTGTACTAAATGTATAATAACATTAATAAAAATAAATTTGATATTTATTGGCAAAATAAATATCCAGAGGATATCGTAACAATATACTCCGAGCGGAGGATATCGTGACGATATACTCCGGGCGGAGGATATCGTGACGATTATTCTCCAGAAGACCGGAAAATTAACTCTATTTGGCATGGAATTCATTTTGCAATGATATTATACATTTAGTACACTCCTTGTTAGTGTAGGATAATAAGAACATCCTATGATTTTTTTCAGAATATCATTTTAATCTACTCGGTGATATTGATATATGCACTCGTTCACTTCGCTCTCTCGTGCAGATATCAATATCACCTCGAAGATAAAAATGATATTCCTCAAAATCATTGGATATCCTATAAATATTCTACCTGCTTCTAAATTCTTCAAAGATCATACCCTTTAACTTATGGCATGCCAAATCTACTGAAATAATACCCTGTCTCATGTTAAAAGTATCTTTTATTCACTAAATATAGATATTGTATTTGTATTATCTGCACAAGTGAGTAGAGCAAGAGGGCACATATCAATATCCATGAGTGGATAAAAATCATATTATGAGTACATGTACATGTTTTTTCCATAGTTATATAGATTGCTATTCATGTTCGTAACCCCATAAACTATGGAATAATATTGAATACAAGGCATTAACCTTCAAGATGTCACTACCTGCTATTTGTTACAAACACTGACCACCAAACCCCGACTGCCGAATACTGTCCACAAAAAGTTGAACACTATAACAATATGTCACCACCAGAAAAAAACTTTTCATGAGGTCTAGAAACAGATATAAATATGTCATATGTGGATGTTATTTTGTTTTGTGCTTCTAAATCATTTGGTAAATGATTAATAAATAAATACATAAATAGACATCTCTGATGATCTTCATTTACATATATGCAAAGTAAAATACATATATACATGAATCTAATCCCAACTATTTACACTACATCTAATACGATCAAAATGAAAGCTGCAAGGCTGTAGTCAATAAGTCCCAATATCCTCTTCTCCATCCTCTCAAACACAAGTTTGAGGACATTGATAACACGAGGTGTGGTAAAAAATGTGTCAAAAATCTTCATTTAATGCAGTAGAAAACAATACTAGCCATATTCCAAGTTTCTTGAACTTTAATAGTCTTGCACCAAGTCTGTGTAATTGTCACTTCTACTTCACAGCTAACCACTGGCGGATACAGGGGGGACCCATGGGCCTTTTTGGGCTTTTTTAGACCAAATTATATTATTAAATTTTCAAAATCCGAGCCCAATTTTTGTTTTAAGGGGCCCAAAATATTTTTCCGTGCAGTTCAGCGGAACACTTTTGCCTGACTCAAAATTTGGGCACCTCCCTTGTTAGCTTCTGGATCCACCAGTGTTAACTATGTTAAAAATGACCTGATAATTGACACGTCTCAGATATTCAAACACCTGACCATTGGAGGGCTAAGAAATACTCCACTACTATGAGTGGTAAATTCCATGCCTGGGGAAGGGATTACCATTCACCCCCAGATATCTCAGACACATCACTGACAGTTTCTGATCCATCTGTCCCAGTACCAGCAACTGATGGGATATTCACTGATAGAATCATTGGCTTAGAGTCCTGATGTTCCTGAGCTTGTGCACTCATCTTTCCAATCCTCTGAGCCTCTATACTGTCTACACTCATCTGTAAGTCTGTGTGGCCAGTAGTATTCAATGTTTGCTCATTTGTTCTATTGAAACCCATTTTATTAAGAGTACTTCCACCAGTTGCACCCATATCTATTGTTTGGCTTTGTCCTAGCGTCTGACTCTGATCCATTGTCTGACTCTGGCCCATTGTATTCATTGTCCCAGTTCTATCCATGGTCTGGGTGCCCCCATAGTCTGTATCACTGAATGTTCTGGAGAGATAGCCAGCTTGTAAAAGTGTGTCAATGTTTATCTGATCTGGTGTCATTGTTCTTGTGTCCATATCACTCATTGTTCTTGTGCCATAGCCATAGAGGTCTGCTTTAGTTGTACCCTGTTCACTCATTGTTCTAGTGCCATACGGGTCTTGCTTCATTGTACCTTGGTCACTCATTGTTGCACCCATTTTACCTGAAAGAATTTAATGGAATTTAGTTTCTCCAATGATCATCGCCAAGACATGTTATCAGGCAACCCCATTAGTTAACCTCTCTTATCCTATGTCCAGTAGAGTTTTAGGTAAAGATAAGCTGGTAAGACATATCCTGTATCCTGATTCTGTCAATTTTAGTGTAATAATGGTATATTTATGTAAATAAATAATTTTAATTTAAGGAGGGAAAATATAAAAAATAGTATATTTTACTCATAGGATCTACTTATATTTGCACATGTGATTTCTCTATTGATATAGGTCAGTTGGAGTTTTGAATCCTTTTAATGATAAAATAAGCATCACCCCAACAACTCTACATACATGTACATTCTTAATGTCCTACCTGTATTTTCTGTTTTTGGTTGAGGACCTGTCAATGTTCTCTCCTTTTCCTCTAGATCTCCCAGTTTCATTGTTCTGTCCTCACTTGACACAACTTGAATAACATTACCTGAAATCATTGAACCAACAAATTCTGTGAAATGTGACATATGACTAAAGCAAGATTGGAGATGGAGATGAGGAAAACATGAATATGTGGTTTATAACATTACTTTATACGACAAGATAAATCATATAATCTCAGCATTATTGAGAAAAAATAAATAATCATCAATACATCATAATAATATAAGTTTGGACTATTTCAATTAACTCACTTGGGAGAGGTGCTAGATCTTCATAAGATCCTCTCAAATCCTGATCTACATTTTCATCATTCAATTCCTGTCGTTTGATACCAGCTCCCTTTCTTCTCAAGTCTTCTCTCTGCCTGCCTGGGCTTGCTCCCTGTCTTCCCAAGTCTGCTCCCTCGGGAGATGGTCCAACCTCACCAGGGCTGGTAGAACCATCACCAAAGTGTATGGGTTGTTTCATCTTATGTAGTAGAGATAACACAGGGTCTGGTACAGTATGGTGGATGATCTCTCCCTCGCTTGCAGATATCTCACTCAGATCCTACAAAAATAGATGGCCTATTCCACATTTCTGTATAAAACATTATTTCTGGAGAATTTATTTCGACCAAAATTGTTTCTTTTATGGTAATGCTGGATGGGGCATAATTTCACAATCCCTTTAATTGAACACAAAATAAAGATACTGGTAAATACACACATTTACAAGTACATTTCCAGTGGAATCTCATCTCTCAATATGGATAACTAGTATACAATATGGCAATAAATTATTAATAAAGAGAACTGCATGAACATGATGGCTAGTCACTATTTTGCATCATGCCAAATACCTGATCGAGGTCTGCAAGAGTGCTGGTTTGACTGACATTCACAGCAGGGGGCCTGGAGTAATCTGAAACAAAAGCATACTGTTGTGTAATGTCTTTCTATCAAGAATCTATGTAGTGATCTTCCCATCATTGAAGAAAGAAGGCGCTACACCCTCCTAAAATCTCGGCACAATATATAAAAGTGCAATAAAAATTACCATACTTTGACCTAGTTTAGACAAAACTAATTTTGAACTCACTTGAGGAGAAAATCCATGAGAGAACACTGTGATATCTTTTGAAAATTTCATTTCTGAAATACCTCACTCAAAACAGTTAAAACATTTTCTTACATCAAGATCTTTTCCCCAGGACACATTAAGATTTCCACATAGTAAATACTTTACCTTTAAAATCTGGGACCTGCCCTTCACTGCGACTGACTAGCCACTGGCCCTCAGATATACTCAATCCCTCAGTGTCAGATATGGGGGAATCTTCCGAGGTAGAGGGGGAATGTTCAGGGGTGTCAGGTTTCATTACCACAGGGGTGGGAGGTTGTACTGGCTCAGGGGAGACAGGTTCTTCTTGTTCTATAATGATGGGTTCCTCACTGACAGCCACAGATTCTTCACTAAAAAAGTAAAAAATGTAGCATTGTACAGTGCATCCGCATATATTTGAAAAGCTCACTGTGATTTATTTTCTATTTTGACCCATCATTATGGCATGTCACTATAAAGATTCATAAAACATGAAATTCATATGGTGGTTTTCCAAAATTCTGAATCCCCTTGTATCTGACTTGAAGATGCCTATTGATGGGAAAATTAATTATCTGCAACATGTAAATTGTAAAATGTGTGAATCCATTACTTACATTAGTGAAATTCCGCTTAAGTAGAAATTAAAATGTTTTACAGTAAGTTGTATACTTACGTTTTTTCTGATGGAGTTGGGGGCTCTTCCTCAATGGTATCATGGTGGGGGTTGGCCTCTGAAAGGGGGGAGTCAGGGTCACCCCATGGGATAGGACTAGGGGTACTAGCCTTCAGGGGTGTCTTTGGCCTTGGGGTGGGGGATCTAGGACTCAGAGTTGGAGAGGGTGTTGGAGTGGGGGTGGGTGGCTGTGGGGGGCTAGGACCAGGGGGAGGAGGTGTTATTGTAGGGGTCAGGATATCATGTCTGGATATAAGTAGGGACTCTTCTTCTTCAGCTACAATACTTACTTCTGAAAAGTATAATTATAATTATAAAAACAGAAATATAGATGTATAAATGTAGTACAGTACATTCAAGAGGGCAAATCAAGAATGCGATGATAATAAGGGTTGATCATTAGATATTAATGGGGAAACTATCCATTTCCCGAGGTAAGTTTTTTTTCAAAACAAGTCTGATGCCAGGATTAATTTTACACTGTGCCACACTTAAGAGTACAAGAATTTTTAGGTCCCTTGAGTGCTTGATATTTTATCCAATTTTGGAAGATATAATTAAATGTTTTTCATCCCAAATACCAACAAGAACACAAATGTGTACAACATGTCCCCAGCAACGGGTGATCCTATATACTGCAAATATTTCACCTGCCATTTGTTACAGATGCCAACCACATATTGCTGTTACATATGCCAAACACAAATGGCAAAACACAAACCATCAAACACTGTCCACACTGTTGGAGACTATAATAGTATGTCACCACTACTGGTGGTGACATAAAAATCCTTTTAAGTTAAAGGCAGAATCAGATCTATAGGGGGTGACAAAATTACATGCAATGTACATAATTGACCTACCAATCTATTCCTTACAATATCAAATACAGTAACTCCCAAAAGATTCACAATATTTTATAAATTGGTGAAGTTATGAATGATTCAAAGTGCAAAAATGGGTGAAAAATGTTTAAATTCTCCAAAATAATAAGAATGGTAACCATTCTTATAGAAAAGTAATACATTATTGTAAAAATCTTTCGTTTTCCTTGAATAAAGTATGCACTTTTGTGATTTTTAGAAAATAGACATGACAAGGAATGACATGAGCCAAAAATATTCTAAAATTGAAACAATTTTTTGTTTAGCCTGCTCGCTATCTCTGATTCTCTCTTTAAGTATACTAGATTAGTACCTCCTGGAAGTGTCTGCTCCATAGTTGTCATAAGTTCTGTGCCCAGACCAATCTCAGATTGGCAACTAACAGAGCCATCTGGTGTCAAAGATGGAGTTATAGGGGGAGACACATGTCTGTGTGGGGTAGGGACGGGGGATGACTTTGGGGTAACTTCAGGTGTTTCTAATTGAACAGCCTGCAAAGAATGTCAACGTTTCACAAATATGCATATTCTTCTTAGGAGCATTTAAATATTAAACTTTACACCCAATCATGATCATTTTTATCCAATATGATGATTTTAACATTTATTGAAGAAAGACATCGCCAGAGGAGCACTAAAAGTGGATGAAGTTGATGAACATATCTGCAGAATTCATTTTACTTCTCAGTGTTTCATCAAACAAACAAAGACAACACTTGATAATACTGATTCTCACCTGTTCTGGAGACACCAGCCTCACAGGATCTTGCTCAATTTCAACTTGGATGGGTTTAACAGGAACCCTCTCATTTTGGCGCTCTCCAAGGAGAGTTCGTATTTTTTCATTTAGTACCTCCTCCACTAGAGAACTCACTAAACCATCGTCTACAGGCTGTCCAGCGCTTATGAATAGCTGCAAACCATCTTGCCCGATTGCCTCTGAAACATAGCCATTTATCAATTACAATATTGTTTTGTTTGCAAAAGATGAGAAAATAGTGTGGTGGTTCTACTATTATCATACAGCGAGTTCTTAATACATTGTACAAATCAATTAAAGACAGTGTCTAAGCCAATCCCCATCCCCTTATACTCACCAGGAATGATTTCTTTACTTGGAAAAGCAACAGAGTCATCAGACTCAACAGTTTCTATGGTATCATTCACAACATCCCTCTGTGGTTGTTTATTGTACATCTCTGTCACCAGACGAGCCAGCAACTCTTGCTCTATCCTGTAAATAAATAAACATGTAATACATGTGTTCTGATTTAGCAGAGTCCCTCTTTATCTAACACACATGATATACTATAGAAGAGACTAAGCAATGCAATGCATGTAATACACGTAACATGTATTGTGTACAGGGTGCTACATGAGCACTGGCCCAGATGCCAGAAGGCAGTTAATCCCATTCTGAGCCAACAGGCTATTTCAGCATAAATAGGAAAATCACACAGGTGACCCATACTTGTAGATCTGAAATTCTTCATGACTGTCTAGTGTCTATGGCAGATATAAAGTTTGATGAGAATAAAAAACAAAACTTAATATACACAGTATAATAACAACCCTTTGATCTGTTTTCATAAAATTGTTAGTATTTTATTTAACCTAAAATGTTTTTGACTTGGTATGAATTTTATCATCTGCTCTGAAAGCACATCTACTGAAGAAACACAAAAATAAGGCAAAATGTTATTATCCACATTTGTCAAAGAGAGAGGAAAGTAAGGGACATTCCATAAAATTGTAAGATATATCTCATTAGCTGTGAGAGACTGAGGATGTAATCTAAATAGCATCATACATGTATATGACATGAACTGGAAATACAATATGTTCATTCCAAGGATGCAACACATGTTGCAATTATATAAAACTCATATACATGTAGTGTAATTAACGTACATGTAAACATATCTTAAAGAACCCCAAAATACATTTAATTATGCCTGTATTGTGTGACAGCAGTACAATATGTTAATCTAACTCAGGAATCAAATGAGTATAAAAGGAGCTGAAGAATTGAAAGGGATCATAGTTCCACTGAGCTCTCATACAACACAACAACCATGCTGACTTTAGCTGTTTTCGTAGCAGGACTTGCTGCAGTGCTGGCTGAGGGATATGGATGTAAATAGGCAACTAAATTAATAGAACTACTTTTATATCTGAGTTTTCAGTGCACAAGCTTTCAAATACATGTAATCATAAAAATTGAAACGACTAAAGCTGCATTAAAATAAACTTATATCATGGGCTTTCAACTAGCCCATGCTTATATCTAACTCATTTTCCCATTCAATTTATAATGTGTTAATGGGGTTTCTTGAGGCTTGTGATATTTTATCATAGACGATTGAGGGATGAGGACTTTTCATAACATCTTTTCTTTAATATTCATATTAAAATACAAATAAACAAATAGATAAAATATGCTTAATTCACAGTATATAATTGCATTACCATAGCATTGACATTTTCTCACTTAAAATCATACAACTTATTTCAGTATCTCCATAATATTTCATCCATGTATTGTTTTACTTTCAGCCCGATGCTTTGACTGCAACTATGCCCCATCAGGCTACAGCTACCAGTCTGACTACTGGAAGCGATCCACCACAGCTGGGTATGAGGGATGTGCCCTAGCTAACTATGATGATGCTGATAACCTTGACAAATGGACCTGCAAATCTGGAAGGTGCTTCATCCGTAGAGACAAAAATGGACGTAAGTAAATATTTAAAAACATTTCAAGGGAGATTTCCAAAGATACATACTCTAACCTTCTGATATAAATGTAATCTTGGAATGTGATTGTAGAATATTTTGAATATGATTTCAGGTTATGTAAAACAGTCAATAAGATCACTGACATTCCAGTCAGCCACAAAAAGTTACAAAAGACTTAAATCTAAACTCTCTACTACCGTAATTTACCACCCTCTCTGTTTTTGTGATTCAAAACCCTAACATTCACAACTACTCTCTTATTATTGCAGTTGTCTACAGAGGATGTGCTGATGAGGAAAACCTCCCCCTTGGTGTCAACTCTTACAGTGGCTGCCAGTATGTTGCTGGATCCCAGTGGTACTTCTGCAAGGGAGATCTCTGCAACAAGGGACAGATCGGAGACTACGGACATTGTGACTACAAACCATCATACCACTCCCACAGCTACAGTAAGTCATAATAAATACACAATGCTCATCCAAATTAACATTATTTCAATTGTAGTGAACAATTCCCTAAAGTAAACACCTCTGTCAAAGTTATAAACACTCTTTAGTAGTGAAGACCTTTCCGAACAAAGGTGCACATTTCTTTAGAATAAAACAACAAAGATTTCTCGCCACCTCAGAAATGATCTTTAAACCCAGAGCGACAAGAAAATCAGTCACTAAAATTTTCACTAAAATTGCTCTCATTTGAACAATTTTTATACAATTTTCACAAAAATTGTTTTAAAATGTGTAAAAATGTTCTCTGCCGTCTAATTTTACTAAGTTGAGCATCTAAAGTTGTTTAGGTTTGTAGAAAAATGTCAAAAGCTGGCAAAAATGAAAAATTCTCTGGTTTCAACTGATCTTAGAGCCTGGGATTCAAGAGATTAAACATGTATAACTCATATGGGTATATTTTCTCTTGTAGACCCATGTGACGGCAAATGCTACGGCAACCCCAGTGGACTCTTCAAGGACAACTACAACCCATACGGGTTCATCCAGTGTGGATGTGACTACAAATACGATGCCTACAGCAAGACCAGCAAGGCCTGTATCTGCTGCAAGCCCCTCCATGTCAAATGCCCCAAGGGAACAGCTTTCAACGACTACGCCAAGGTCTGTGACACTGCAAGCTACACTGCCCCTGCCCCTGCCTACCAAGCCCCAGCCTACCATGCCCCAGCTTACCCAAGCTACCAGGCACCTGCCTACCCAAGCTACTATTAAACATTCACTGTACAATATTGTTACGTTAAATAAAGATGTCTAGGAAAAATAAAGTGATTTTTGCTTAATCTTGCTGGTGCATTTCTTTAATTATCATACTGGGTATACTAATTCAGCAGCACATCTTTCAACAGTTTCATCTCCCTCAAGTGCTGTTCAGTTGTTATGAAGACAATGCCAAAATATGCTCTTTACACATTTCGACCATTGTGACAAGTGATTCATGTTGACAGTGAAATACAAGACATTGTACAAGACAATCAACCTGCCAATCAACCATAAAATCTATGGATCAATCAACTCTAAAATTTGAGATACCTACTAATCAACTTATACATTCAAGACACCTTAACACCATTAAATTTTGGAAACTTACAAATAAGACACTTACCAATCAACTGCCTTGTTCTCCAACATATCTCTACGCTTTAAATCAGCAGCCAGGATGTCTGAGGAAGGCATGCAGACCTCCCTAGGGGGTGGTGGATGTACCCTAGGGGGAAACTCTGGCCCATTATACTGCCCCTGGGGGACCCTATAACCTGGGAGGGTTATTCCTGGAGTTTCATCTTCTCCCTCAAAGTTCTCATTGTCAAAACTATCCTCATCGTTCATATCTGTATTGGCATGTCGAGGCATAGGAGAGTCATCAACCTAGAATTTATGAGAATCATTTATTCAAAATTGTTGATATTCAAGAATCAGAAAAATCTCTGGGTTAATTCAGAGACTCAATTTTCTCTTCACTTACTGCAAAAATAAGGATTCTCAATTATCATTAGTGAAAAATAGTTTCCTACAAAAATTACCAGGTTTATCCTATATTAGCTGTTCTTACCTGGTCTTTAACTGTTATGTAATTGTTGAAAGCCTGGGCAGGGTGATCTGATTGCACTGAACTATCTTCACAGGTGGGAGGCTCACTGTCAATGTCCACTGGCGGAAGAGTCTGGAATATTTAAAACATAAAATAGTTATTATTAAAAACAAATGCTGACTAGGGGAAATTTTGCTTCAAAGACAGTTGTATGTGTCCTTCTAAACTCAAACAAAGGTGATTACCTGTATAGTTAGTCCATCTGTTTTTTTGTCTACCTCAGCCTGTATATGTACTACCCCTACATTGGAGTTGGGGTCAGGTGGTGGTCTAGGATGTGTGATAGCAACTGGTTGAGTAGAGCCTAGATGTCTGGGGGCACCAAGTTGTATGGCCATTGGAACTAGCTTGCCTGCCATTGGAGCTGCAAGTGCAGTGTAAAAGGAATAAATGTCATTTCATGCATATAAAATGGCAGGGGATTTATCTGTAGATCAACTTAAAGTAGTAGTAGTAATTTATTGCACTCATAGTTCATATATGGTACATGTACTTTTATTCAATATATGAATGAGTAAAATTAAAAAATTGATAAAATATTAGTCAGACATTATGACAAATCTCCCTATTGAAGATTACAATAACAGACAATTGGAAAATCTAATACAAGGCATTAACATGACAAAATGTCACCACCTAGTTGCTCATGATATTATTAGTTCAGTCTTAAGTCAGATTTGAATTTTTGAGAACTTGTAGATAATTTTGAAAAAGAATTGGTCAATTTGAAGCAAGTTGAAAAAATACCTTTTTTGAACCTAAGAAGGTCATTGAAGGTGAAATCTCAAATCTAAAGTCAGATTTGAACTTCTGAGAACTTGTGATATTGAAAAAAAAGAATTGGTAAACTTGAAGCAAGTTGAAAAGAGGCCTTTTTGACCATGAGAAGGTCATTGAAGGTCAAATCATTTTTGACCTTGAGAATGTCACTGAAGGTCAAATCTATAGTCAGATTTGAACTTCTGATAACTTGTACATGTAGATGATTTTGAAAAAAAGTTTGGTCAATTTGAAGCAAGTTGAAAATTACCTTTTGGACCTTGAGAAGGTCAATGAAGGTCAATTCTAAAATCAAATTTGATACAGATGCCAAGATTTGTTACAGACGCCAACCGCAGCCACAAAATGAAGGACCCACGGTCCTATGCTCACACAGTTTGGAACCTTCAGAGGAATGTATATCCTGACTTTTAAACAAAAATATTGATTTGGATTTGTAGTCTCGAACTTTGACAAACTTAGATAGCACAGTTGTGTGACCTAGTTTGATGACCTTTGACCTTGAAAATTTTACTTAGTCAGAGCACAGTAAGGTCTTTTGTGATTAAGCTGACCAAAATTTACATCCAAAAATCAATTTGAAAAATCAACTTTTTTGACCCTTTCGAAGGTCACTGAAGGTCAACTAAAGGTCAAATCCTAAAACTAATGTCAGATTTGAACTCCTGGCAACTTGTAGATGATTTTCAAAAAAAAATTTGGTCAAATTGAAGCAAGTTGAAAAATAACTTATTTTTACTGTTTTTTGACGTCAAATATCTCAAAAACGGTAAAAATTTGATGCTGACATATATTGAGCAATATGTAGGGAATGCTTTAATCTAGTAATGATGTAATTCATTGCAAGAAATGATCAAGTATAAGGCAAACTTTGAGAAACTTGTCAATCACAAAACCTGCCATTGACTTTATACATGAGAAAGTTTCCTGAAAATGACTAAGTCCTACTTTTTGTCAAATTTTATAGAGTAAACACCAAAAACTGTAATTCCAAGAGCTTTGAAATCTTCAGAGGACATAAGTTGCATATACAGCAACTACTAAAAGTTATTTGAAAGTTCTACTTCAACAAAGTGTCTAGTATTTACAGAAAATTTGACTTTTTGACGTCAAAATCCGCAATTTCTCGGAAACTGGGCGAACTTGGGAAATGGCGATGATAGGTCAAATAGGCATTATAGATATGCATAAAATAAATGTGGCTATGACTCAATCCGAATAGCATTAATTTGTGCGGCCAATGTTGACGGACGGACCGACAAACGGACGGACGGACATCATTTGTTGTTGCTGCATTAGATTCTTCTTTCATTGTCTTCTTTCTTTGTCTTGATTTGATTGTGATGTTAGTTGTCTTTCTTCAGGGTCCACAGACTTGAGACTGTGCGTAGGTGGGTTAAACGTTTTAATCTGGCTGGAAAACTCTCCCCTTCCTCTTATGGCCTAGTCACATAGCCCGGCCAATGAGGTTACGATGAGCCAGCGATGCAATTTTCACCGAACTCGGCCGAACACCGGCCGGACATCCGTGGCATTTGTTGCTTAAAACCGCATCGGTGGTAGCTCGGTAAAATTTTAACTTCGGAGTTAAAGGAGCACGTAGGTTATCGCAAACAATTTCAGAAGGTTATATCTTGGATTATGACTATTTTCTGACAATGAAGACAAGTTTATCTTTTAGATCAATTCATTATCTCAAAGAAAATTATGCACAGTAATAATAAATTCAAACAAACTCGGAGATATTTAACTAGCAATTAACCCATCAACACACTTTTTCAAAGATGTTGACCCCATTTTCACCAAAAATGCAATCATTTTTTACAATGTTGAATGCATTACTATTCTTTATTTTGATGTATCAAATAGTTTTTGAAAGAGAAACTTAATTGCATTAAGATAAGTGTTCCCCATGTTATTTCTCCATTGAAAAATCTCATGCTATCCATTTGTTTCAGTTCATTTTGGTCATCCAAATTGAATATCTTTAAAGTCCCTGGAGCAATCAAATTTTCCTTTTAGGAAATCAAACATGTCTCAAAGAACATTCTAATTATGCATTCAACAATATAATAATAGGTTGCATTTTGGTGAAAATTAGGTCAACATTTTTGAAAAAGTACGTTGATTGGTCCATTGCCCCTTCAATATCACTTAGGTCTGATTAACTAAATTATCATTATATATACTTTTCTTGACGATAATGAGTGGATCTAAAAGATACACCCATGTTCATGATCAGAAAATATTCATAATTCAAGTTAGAATCGTTTGAAATTGTTTGCGATAACCTACGTGCTCCTTTCACCGGGCTCTCACCGAGCTCCCTCATCATGTCATCGCAGCCCCATCGTAACCACATCGGAAAACACGTCGGCCGGTGCACGGCCCAGTATCGGCCGGTGTCCCGTGCATCTGAGACAACCAGAGGACGAGGTTTTTTAACGGACAGCGGCCGAGCTCCGACCGAGCTCCATTTTGAGACAGACTCCGTACGGTCACCGGCCGGTGTTCGGTCGGTCGCCTGAAGATGTCCGGACGGAGTCCGTTCACGTCACCGAGCTCTGCTTCCGATGAGGAGAGCTCGGTGGCACTAAAAAAATCCACCGAGCTCTACCGATGCCGGACATCGGCCGGGCTATGTGACTAGGCCATTACTGATGTTCTTATGTTGATCTGTCTTCTTAGTTTACCCTCTTTGCGGAGAATATACTGTTTCATATTCGTTTGTTAATGTTCTCTTCTCTCGTTAATTTTCCAGTACTTCAAGATGATATTCTCCTGCATATTGTATTTAATACATATCCATTTATTTCTTGTTATAGCTTTCTTATTATACGAATTTAGTATGTTACTCCTGTAACCTTGACATTGTAGTTTATTTCCCAGGCTGGTAACTCTGTTTGTTGCATCTTCCAATTGACTGCAGATTCTTGAAATCCTTATTATTTGTGATATAAATATTCCATAGGACTGGTTTCTAGGAATATTTCCAGATAAATCTGGATATGAGACTATTTGGAAATTGAAGTTTTCCCTTTTGTCTTATAGTTTTGTTGTGATTTGTTTATTTACTATTTCCATTTGTATGTCCAGAAAAGTTGTTTCTGTATCCTTCTCATTTTCCTTGTTTAACACTAGTTCTTCAGGATAGATGTTCTTCATGTCAGTCTCCATTTCTCTGTCATTGTTTATAGTACATAAATCTTCGATGAATCTTGTAGTTTTAGCATATTTTAGTACTTTGGAGTAGTCTTCCCTATACATTTTCTCAATGGCTTGAAATTCATAACTATATAAGTATAGGTTTGCCATATATGGCGCCGGATCGATTCCCATTGGTATTCCAATTTTCTGTCTTAGAATTGATTTCCCTGCTTTAAAGTAGGCTGTATCCACGATGAAATCCACTAGATCATGGCACTCTTCTTTGGTATATGCCTTTTTATTATCCGCCTTTCCACCCCATTTGGCTGGACGGACGGACCAACGGACGGACGCCTGGTCGATCCCATAGGCTCACTGTGTGAGCCAAAAATGGAGACCATAACAATATGTCAATACTTTTTGGTGGTGACATTATAATGCTGTAAATGTTTGTCAATTTTTCTTTGCAAACTAAATTTTGAATAGAAACAAGTCATTGACATGCAAGATATCACCACCTGTCATTTGTTACAGATCCTGAACACTGTCCAGAAAAAAGCTGGAGACTATAACAATATGTCACTGCTTGTGGTGGTGACATATAAAACTAAACACTTGAAAGACCTGGGTATGACTTGTATAATGGCTTCCCATGTAGATATTTCTGCTTATATATCATCAGAGGGCTGTTAAAATCAAAGTAATACCTGAATGAAGAGGTGGGGGTAAGGGAGGTCCTGTCCTTTGTACTCCAGGGTCAAAATAGTATTGCATTTCTGGATTGATGACCCCATCTCCTCTCTCCCTCATCCTGTCTGGACCAGTCTGTGTCTTGGACGATTTCCTTGAAATACCTGTGCCAAACATTAACAATAAATATATAAATATAGAATATAATATATATCGTATTGTATCGTATCTTAGCTTTCAAGCAGATTTACTTTGATCTAGACTTCAACCAATCGTAATACTAGATGGTAGATAGTATGTAGGCATATAATGACAAGTAGCTCATCTTCATTTTAAGCAGCTCATCTACATTGTAAGACTTGCAAGAAGAAAAATAGTTTCATACCCTCATCTGATTGCACTGCCGGAGGTCTAGAAAGTCTTGGCTTTGGTGTAGTTTGATAATGCATATAAGGAGTCTTTGAGCTTGTGCGTCGTGATTCGTGGATTGCCTTTCCATAAACACGATTCATGTATTCCTCATCCTTGTAATCCTTTAGAACCTTCTTAAATAAAAATCAACATTTTACAAATTGCAGGATGACAGCTGCTTGAATCATCTATCATGTCTATATTGTGTCAATTGTTTGAAACAAATGATACGCAAAGATAATAATTATAAGTTTTTCCACAGTTGGGTAACCTTTAACATTACTTAATTCACATTTTTAAAGATGTCTGAAACGGCACTTTTTCATTTTGCACTGTCGCTTTAATCAGTCATGCATTAAAATATCTTGTAACTTTCATAATGTACCTTTCCCTTGTTCACAGATTTTTTCAAGGTCCCTTCTGGTTTATTCTCTTTCCCCTTGAGGCCCCCTTCCTTCCCCTTCAGGGCTCCCCCTTGAGGCTTTAAAACATCAGATTTTTTGTTCCTCAGACCTGTGTTAATTTTTGACTGTACATTGGCCTTCCAATTCTTCTTGCTGATGACTGTATTTGTTTTTTTGGCTGGTATGGAGGTGCTGTCAAGTGAGGGGTCTTTTGGGGAAACTTTTGAATGTTGCTGTTGAAGATGTTCCTTTACCTCTCCCTAAAAACAATATGGTATCTCAACTTATTTATTTGTTGATACTTGTAATCAAAATATAAAACTTTTGGTTGTGTGGAAGGAAAATACAAGTAGCTTACTTTTGTGTTGTTTGTTAGTTTGTTACAAATAACTTCTGTCTCATATTACATATAGGTTACTAATACTCAATACGGTGTAGTTACAAATAGCTTACTTCTATCTCAATAGTTTCAAATAGCTTACTTCTATCTGTGAACTTAGCAGATTTATCTGAGTGTCCACCAATCTCTGGATCCGAAGTTTCTCAGCAGCATCACTGAAAAATACAAATAGAATTATAAAATTTACTTCATACAATATGCATATTCAATAAATGCATATCAGTGTACAAATATGTTTATATTCATTGATAGATGTCATAGCTAGCAATACAAGTAGTGGTATTTCAGCTTTACTTTCGAATTTCATTCATAAGAAACAACAACAGAACATGCACATATGTAGAATGTGTCACATTGAGGTTTCCATTTAAACACTGTATCAATTTCACACATGTTCACTTGGAGGGGAAAGCATTTTTGAGCTGATTTTCTTTAGACCAATTATTTGTTGCTCGAGTGCCACATTCATGTTGTTATATTGTTTTTGCTACATGGTGGAACTATCAATTTATGCACAGAACAATTCACTGGCCATCTTGAAAATCACCTTTGTCCCTAGGCATCAACATATAAAATTTGAACCAAATTTGTGAACTTTTTTTTTATTTTCCAAATATATGAACATATTTCTCATTTTATAACTTTGTATAAAAAAGTCATTTTACAATATTACAATATTTGTGAAAAATGATACAATTTTAATTCTTGAACATTATTACAATAGTAGTTTACAAATATAATGTACCATGAGTTGTTTAACCATTCATTAAAATAAGTATAGCTAGTGTCTTGTACCTTATAGCCAAAGACAAGGGTTTTATACTTTTTCAAGCTTAAATCAGTTTCAATCTAAAATATAATTTTCAAGTTGGTCTAAAAGTTTGACATTGAAAGAACAAATGTTTATAGTCTTCTACTTGTCCACAAATATCACACTTTTCATTAACACTTATTTTCCATCTAAGAGGTAATTGTTTGCATGGTAAAATTGCAAATGTATTTTATGTACCCTGTATTTTAAAACCAAATTTGTGAATTGGTATTTGAGTTGTTACATTTTTACAAAAAATGGTGGCCATTTTGAATTCCTTCTCGATCAGAAGTTCTACCCCAATAAGGCACAAGCCTATAAAATTTGAATCAAATACGTCAACCAGTATTTGAGTTATCACCCGGATAAACAGACGGACAGACTGACAGATGGCTTTCCTATATCCCCCTCAAACTTCTTTCAGTGGGATAATAAAAGGTGAAACTCTAATTTCACCCGAATTTTACAAGCTCTTGTCATGGCTCATATTTTAGAATGCAAAATGGAATGGAGAGTTGATAAGTCAAGGAAATGAATGACCAGGCAAAAGGTGAACACTCTAAATATTAGAGTAAATAAATAGAATCTCAGAAATCAATTCGACTCAATTTATGAGTAGCAATATCTTCATAGAATATAACCCATTAAATATGATTGATGAGGGAATCATGAAAATTAGAAAGATGTCACTTTGCAAAATATATATAAATAGTTTCTTTATAAATAGGAATTTATGAATGAGCAGAAGCCAGGATGTTAGGCAATGATGTTCCTTAATTCAGTGATTTCTTCTTACTGTTATCACTTAGTTTTTAACTTTATCCCATTTCAATACCCATCCCCTTTTCAAATGTTATTAATATAGTGTAGGAGAAACTTTTGATACATTTAAATTGAGAAAAACAAGATCCTCTTTTTAGAAAATAAGCCTTACATTTTTAAAAAAGTGACAAGGTGGGGTCCTAATCCATAATTTTTGAAAATGAAATAAAATAATTATGAAAGAGACTAATTAAAAAACCATGAGCAGCAAATATAAGGAAAAACAAACTGTAATTTTATAAAAGAAAACTTCAACTAGAAAATATTTCAACTAACCCGTAAATATAAAAACTCATTAATTTGTACCTGTCCTCCATATGTCCAAGCAATGCATAGATATCCACATTGTCTCTTTCTCGTACAATATGTTCCAGGTTTCTTTCAAGAGTCTCCTTGGTTCTAGCTGCTCGCTCCAGAATCTGTTCCACGTCATTGTATTTGGTAGACACAGGGGCATTACCTTTACTAGGGCTCATCGTCACATCATGGAAGGTTGGGTAGGGACTAGCATTGTCTAGCATCAATGGCTTTTTCTAAAATCAATCAATCAATTCATAAATTAATCATTTAATTTGGGAGACACAGGGGCATTGCTTTCACTTGGAGTCATGGTCACATTTTTGAATATCTCTCAATAATAAACCAATCCATTGATCAAGAACAAGAATTATATGATAAGAGATATCCAATCAAATGTACAAATGACAGCTAAAAATCAAAATCCATTCATTATTATGTTGTGTTGATAATAAATGAAACATTGTGATGGATTAACATGTATTTTACCACTTCAAAGTCTGTATTCATGCATAAAGTACATAATAATAAAATTTAATGTATCAGACTACAAAAAAACCTGAAAAATTGATACTTTTAACATAATTCATAAGTATAAAGGACAGATCTATACATCATGTACATACACTAGATAGTAATTAGTTTGTGGAGAGTAGTATATAACATACAACTACAAAAAAACCTGGAAACATGGATATTTTACATTTGTATAATTATCACGTAAGGATCAATCCAATATTTTATAAATCATCACGATCCTTGTAGAACACAGCCCTTGAAGAAAAGCCCATTGGAGACATGTTTTGTATTGTAATTTACACATACTAGTTTACAGAATGAACCATAATATAGTCTCATGCAAAACAAGGCATTAGCATTCAAAATGTCACCATCTACAATTTGTTACAGACACTGAACCCCAAGCGCCATTTGTTCATGTTACAGATATCAACCACTGAACACCATTCGCAGAACCATTCAAAAAAAAGTTGGAGACTATAACAATATGTCACCATCATGGTGGTAACATAAAAACTGAAAACATTACATTTGTATAATTGTCAGGTAAGGATTAATCCAATATTCAATAAATCATCACAATCTGTGTAAAAAACACAATTCATACAGAAATACAAGTAAATTGCAATATCCTCATGTGAAAAAACTGTGATGACAGATATATTGTAAGCATAAATACTATATATCCTCATAAAATTGAATTATCCACAGTGTTTAGAATATAATTCTTGTACTGCTGAGTGTATTACAGATATTTATGAAATATATTTCTAGCTCTGATATTTGTATTCTTTGCACTTTAGAATATGTTCTTCAATCATGATTGTTTACTTGTTTTTGATAGTTTCCATTCAGTGTCACTTTATTTTGAACATAAAAACATTACCCTATTGACCATTTATTACATCTACCAGTCAAATGTTTTTCTTACCAAATATTTATCCAAAGGTGCACCATACTGGACATTTGGAATGATTGGTGTCTCCTGGGGGTCAGGTTTTAAGACTGAAGCATCAGTGTATGCAGGTCGATACCCAGTTGAGACTCCAGAGGCTGTAACATTTGTAAGAATCTGTGTTTCTCTTTTCTGAAATATCAAAATGGTTAAATACTAAGCCAATGAATCTTCACTGACAAAAATAATTGGTAGAGTTGGAGGACTTTAGGTATGACATTAATATGCTTAGAATTGGCAATATGCTTAAGGTAGGAAAGTTTGCAATATGCTTAAAGCTGACATTTTGCTAAAGGCAGAATGCTTAAGGTGGGCAATATGCTACAGATGGGCAGTAAGATTGATTGGTAGTATGCTCAAAGTGGGCATTATGCTTAAGGTGGGAAGTAAGCTTAAAGTATACATTGTGCTATAGGTTGGCAGTAAGCTTAAGGTGGACATTATGCCAGGATACCATTGAGGCATGTTAGTATTTGATATGAAATCTGACATGTATAAGATCAAAATTAATTCAATAACATATCAAAGATCTCGTGACAATAAACAAATCAAATAATAAAATTAGTAAACTCAAATTTTTTCAATTTAATTTTTCTTGTAGTCATTTAATCCTCTGATATGCTTTGTTGAATCAGACATTGAATATTATGTAACTGGATCTGGGGTAATATCAGATTATCATTATAGCCTTGTATATATTCAATTTGAATTGATTTAAATGTTTAATCTGTAACAAATATCATGTAGTCTTGTGCACAGCTCCAAAGACTGTCCATTCATTTACATTACTTCAAGGCATTTTTCTGGGGCTATGCATTGGACAGTATACAAGATATCAAGCTTTTACACAGAACTGTACTTAGGGGTGTGTGTGTATGGGGGGGAATAGTTATTAGCTTGTTTCATTTGGCTGGTAGCATTGATTTTCTGATCTCATACCGAGCTGTCAGTCAGACTTGCTTCATTATCATTGGCTTTTACTGTTGACTTGCCAGGTTAAAAAAAATTGATTAAGCAGGACACTCACCTCTATCATATCTTTCATTTGATTTTTCAGTTCACTCAAATCCTCCACCAGATGCCGAGCTTTATCAACTACAACGCCATTTTGCAAACTTTCAGATTTATTTTGCATCCTGAAATAAGAGATGCATCAAATGTCAGTTTAAACTGGTCAACTTATTTGCTCACAGAAAGCCATTATCATGTAAACGAGATTTATAACATATTAATAATTCAGGTTATATTAAAAATTTCCCGCTGATTTAATTTTAAAATGTCACACATTGTTATGACTAACAAAACAAGCAATTCTTTATTGCGTTATTAAAAGCTATATCAAGTACATGTACGTAAGAGATTTTGAATATAGAAATTAAATTATCTAAAATGCACTAGTGCACTGAGTACTATAAGTGCAGTTTTGTGTCCCAGATTCAGACATAGATGCTTTATACTTTAAAATGTCACAGTGGTTGCATTACACCTTGAAAATTAATTTACACATTTCAAAGAGACTGTCAGTCAGAGCTTAAAGTTTCATTGTTTTAAAATCATTCAAGTTCAAATGTTTTCATGACAATTTCTATGAACTAGTATGTCGAGTATATTTTCTAAAAGTACAAAATGATCATGCTTTTCTCTTCTGAAAAACCATTAATTTTTCTATAATTGTACAAATCCCCATTAAAATTTGTACATTTCTGCCTTCTCAAATGCCACCCTTTGATAAAAAAGCATAAATGTTTTTTTTCTTTTGAGTAAATGTAACTTTGAATGATCTTTCCAATGGTAAATCACACTAGGTATCATCTATTAAGATTTTAGCTGTAGCGGGGGGGGGGGGACAGGATTTATTAGACACTCTGTATACACTGGGAATAGTAAGTAGCCAACTCATTGTTTGGTAAAATTATTGCTTGTTCACAACAGGTATACCAGATCATAATTTTAGTCAAATATATAAAACTATGAAAGAAATATGAATAGTAATTTATATGGGAGACCAGTGACAAGAACCTTTTTCCCAGTGGAAAACATGTTCCTTAAATGAACATTAATTTGAAAATATTGCAGAAAAGCTGATCATCCCTTTCCGAACAAGTTATCAATAATTGATATGTCTAGACTCTAATAAATATAAAGAATTTAGTTGAAATGTTCAGATATGTGTGAGTGTATACTGTTAACGTCACCAAAACTTTATTCAAGTAGTATGTGTAATATCAAAACAAATGTACTGCACTTAGTCTAAACATTATCAAGAAATCAGACACACAATTGTCTGTTATCGCTTGTATGGTTTCAATTTCACACTCCGCTTTTATATGGGGTGTTTGATAAAATCTACATAAAAAAAATTTTGTACGTCAGTTGACAGCATGATCTTGGTTAAGTGTCTAGAAAATGCGCACTGTTCTATTCACGTCATAAAATACAAAAGAATTCTCAAACATTACGATGATCTAGAATATCAGTTAAACTGTAATTCAGCTCTTTCAATTTTAATGCTGTCAGTTTCATGTTCAACTAACGTCAACTAATTAATAATTTGACATCACCAAAGATGAGCCTGAGTTGTTAAAAAGAAAGTATGTATCCCTTACAATCTAAAACGGTATCTGAAAAGACTTAGGCAACAACATGATCAATTAAATATGAAGGTATTAAAGCTTTCAGAGGCAAAAATGTGAATTGTGAATTGAATTTCATGTGAATTGAAAAGGGAGACATCCATGTTTTCAATATGTTTGCCAAATAAGCATAAAAATCAAAGCATTGTCGTAAGTCATTTTAGAAATATCACTAGCTAGAAATGGTGTGAGCAAAAAAAAAGATTGTTTAATTCAGATGGTGCTTTTAATAGTACAATGTACACTTGTCTGTATTTTTTGTTGCATCTTTGAATTCTATACAAATGTGAATGACAAAATGAATTCACGCACATCTGAAGCAACTGGCATTTAAAGCGCAGGTTAAACAGAGAGGAGTTACTAGCCGGAATATTTTGATAACTAATAAAACTTCTCCATTATCTAACAGAGTGTCTAGTTGCACGCATTTAGTTAGTGCTCACCGATGCAAAATGAAAGATCATCACGTAACTATCACATTTAGTAAATTTCCTTCTAACACACAAAACATAAATTAATTACTTAAATTGATATTTAACTTAGAGAGTGAGCCAGAGGATCGGCTGTTTGCATGCAGGTTTCATTGAAAACTTAACGAGCCCTGTCAAGCAGACTTGATTTATGCAACATGCTCTTTATATCCTAATGAAATCTAGCCACATTTTTCAAGCTAAAACTTCAATTATCAGTAGACCCATGGTAAATATACAACAGACTAAATATCAGAAAATCACCGGATTGCATGTGATCAGCTCATGTATTGTAATGTGTAGTTTTTGTAAAAAAATAAATGTAATGAAATTGTTTGGCATGGAGTAATAATATACTGATAAAACTAAAACAATGTATCTGGTTACTAATTGGATATACCAAGTGATCTATCTGTGTCATGTATGATATTTACCTACACATGTACATTTACCAAAGAAATGTGACCTATTAAGCTTATAGTGCAGTCCTCAAAATAATGTTTTCACAAAAGTCATGTTGTATATATTGTTAAAGAATAAGCTAGTTCAACTAAAAGTCATTTTTGTGGAACTTGAAGTTTGAGTACAACATAATTGTTTTTGTCTCTAAAATTACCACTTGGATGCCCAGGGGGGGCATTAACAGAAACTTTGCAAATTAAAGAAATTCCTAAGGTCTATTGTTCACTTACTATGATGTCATTATAGCCATGGTTACAACAATGGATTTAGGAATTAGTAACCTTACCAAGTTTCTGTTAATGACCACAGATATCTAGTAATTATTATCATTTACTAGCAGGGAATGAATACTGGATTTATTCAGGGTGACAATATCACTGGGGATGAACTGGAAACGAGGGAGGTTTTGCCTCGTATCAAAATGGCGGCGCGTGAAAAAATTTCATTCGGTAAGATTTTTGTTTTTTACAATTTTCGTGCTTTTATCCTTCAAATTAAAACTTAATATTTGGCAAGTAAATAGTTCATAAGTTCCGGTTTTATAATATGATTACAAATTAGAAATCAATGCTGGCATTGCTGAGATATTTACATATCAATTCTCTCACTTAGGAAACGAGGCATGTTTCTCAAGGAAACGAGGCAGCTATATAGCATTCTTAAGAATGAAACGAGGCAACCATATTTAATTAAAAAAATGGGCTTCGAACCAAGTTATAAACATTGCAAAAGTCAGTGTACGGAGCCCGATGCAATATTGGACGTAAACATAAAACCAATGCTGACTGCATCCTTTTAATTCAATGTACCAAAAAGCCAAATTACTCCTCTTTGCAATGGAACATCATTCATTCACAGGGAGTCATCTATGGCCGAATAATCATTAATTTTGCAAAGTGGGGCAAAATTCAGCTCAGACATTGCAAAAGTCAGTACAAGGGGCACAGGGGCTATTGGAAGAAGGTGTGACAGGTATGGCATAAACAGTAAAGTGTTCATACTCATACTCTTGCAAGAATATATCCTATACCCCTCCAAATTGCCACCACTTCCTTGCACATAAAGATGCGCTCATCTGTCCACGTCATGCATGGTTCAGCCCTGAATCATGTGTGGGTTAAAAGCAAAGAAAAGCAGCCCATGGGCAAATCTTTCTCGAGATTTTGCAATATCTGGTGGAGGAATTGTGAGCACAGGTGCTCCTGAGATAGCTCCAAAAGAAAAAGTCACAACAATTAAAGTCAGGGGAACTTCCATTGGCACTTAGCCCTTGCACTGATTTTTTCAATATTTAAAACTTGGCGCAGAGCCGATTTTGACCCACTGTGCAAATGGAATTGAAGGATTTCTCACCCAACCATTACCACGTGTGAATGAATGACATATCATTGCAAAGAGGAGAGACATGGCTTTATGGTACATTAAATGAAATTGATGTAGTCATTACTAGTTTTTTCGATACGCCCTGTATAGTTCTTTTGAATTTCTGCTTTAGTCTTGGCCATATTCTGCAACAAATTGTGAATTCCCGGGTTAGTTACCACTATTAAGACAGAAATAAGCAACGAACTCATTGATATAAAACTGAAAAAGTTGACATCATGTTTTAAAAATGACCAATTAAGTTGTTTTTTTAGAATACCTTTCAACCGAATCGCGGGATATCCTAGATCTTTGATTAACCAACTTTGCTTAGGCAAAATATACAGGTGTTGTACTTACGCGATTGCTGTATTATTTAGGGATTATTAGGAAGAAATCCCCTTTCCTTTGACTGCAAATAAAGTATGGCGTATCATGAGATCACGTGATGATCTCCTCCACTTGAGTTAGCAGCATTTATTGCTGAGTTATCAACTTATTTCGCACTTTCCGTAACGTACCTTATTGCAACGTACATGAGGAAAACTCATTACATGTTCCAATAAAGCAATACAACAGAGCGAACAAAGGTAATGAGCACATTGTATTGAATGTCCGCCTTGTCATATTCAAGAATTTATTTACTAATTCCATCAAGATAAATACAAAATGTTGGGAAATGTTGTAACGTACCTTAAAATCCTTATCTTTTGAATTGAAAAATGACACCTTTATGACCTATAACTTTTGTTCTGGATAGAATACAGTTTTTAAACTTTGCATGCATTTTGATAAATCATTTTCTGATAAAATATCACTCTGGGTTAAACATTTAAGTGATTCGTGCATTCTCTAGAAATTGAAATATCTAAAGTGGTATTTTAGAAAAAAAACTGGCGACATGGGTTCCGGGCATCTGATTATTACGTTGGAAAGGATTAAATTACTCGAAACGTTGGTAAAATACAGTAAATACCCACAGGTATTTTTTCAGGAAGTTTGGATGTGTTCTAAAATCTATAACTACTTCAGTTGTGCTTATAAAACATCACTATGCACTCTGGCGACATAACCACCCTTGGTATACGCAGCTAACGAAAATTGACCGGTACGGGTCAAAAGCTGGACCGGTACGGGTTAACCGTTTTATTTGAATTTAAAACAGCCATAACTTGCTCAATATTGACTTCCTCGTGTCTAATTTGAAAT